TTTAGTGCACTCCTCTACTAATATAGGTATATTATCCTTAGTTACCTTAGAATCTTTTAAACTACTAGAAATTAGAACCTCCTGTCCTTTCGCTATCCCTATATTTCGTTACCTAAAGCTAGCTAGAAGCTTAAAAAGTTCCTCTATACTATTATCTAATATAAACTTACTACCTATTATAGTAGAATCCTATTCCTTACTAGAAATAGTATATTTAAGAACTATAAGCTACTAAATTATCTATATAGGAAGGTGGTGCCTCTAGTCCCTAATAAGATCCTTACTAGTGTTAAATACTCTTTTAACACTACCCCCTGTAATCTAGATAGGTAGAATATCACGTGCTACCTATGCAAGTTATGGATAGGTAGCTTTATTTAATTTCTGCTAGTCTAGGATATTAAAACTATCTCCTTTAATAACGTAAGGAGTGCTAAGGTATATTTTACCCTCTTATTATATTAAGCCTCCTTTATACTTATTAGGGAGACTTAGGGATCTACTTAACTAGGAGTAGTCTAGTAGTAGTAGGTTTCTAAACTACTCCTTACCCTATAATTATCTAATAGAAGCTATTAAAGGTTAGGGAGAGCTAGGGCGTTAGGTGTTATTATATTAATCTAGGTATTTAAGCAATTATTAGTAGTAGATATGTTTATTATAAGGATCCTAAGTATTATCTTAGCCTAATATTTAGCGTATACTATTATAAATGTCTATAATTAATATACCTTATATACTATAAGATTTTATAATAGATCTAGGATAGAAGTATAGTTAAATAGGTAGCTATACTCCTTATCTATCCTCCTATAGTATTTTAAGAGTTTTTCCCTACCCTTTTTAGTAGCAGCTTTTACTACCTTTAGCTATTTAACATTTTCTTAGTTACCTAAATTCTCTCCTAAGTTATTATTTATCTTAGCTAAGAAGTTAAAAAGCTAGTTATATATTAACTACAAGTATTAAATTTAAGGTTTTAAGTTTTAGCTAAGGTAGGTAGTTACATCCTTAAATCCTTCTAGCATAGTAGTAACAAGCTTAAGGTAGTGCTATTCTCTAGAGGATAGTTGAAGTTGCTTAAGATTACAGGCGCTAATATAGCTATTATCCTCTCTAGAAACGCTAGTATAGTTTATTATAATTTCTTACTAAAGCTAATAATTAATATAGTATTTAAGGTAAAGAGTGTAAGAGTATGTATTATATATAGAGTTCTATTAAGTTAGTATATCTTATATAACTAATAGATATTCTTTTAGTAGTAGGTTCTATTAGGTAGCAATAAAACGCTTAAATTATTGTAGCTGTTGCAGGAGGGATATCAACCGGATCACGGAGCATCTTGATCTGATCAATCCCAATCAATGCCAATCAATCCTTATCAATACCCCTGTATAACCCACTATCTGATCAACTGCTAGCTTACTGTCAAGTGCCTAACAAAAGCAGGAGCTCTAGTAAGGAAGGTTTACTAATTATACACCTTCTAGTAAGGGTAGCTGAAGCTCTATATATATAAGTCTAATCGTAGTAGATACAATCTAATAATCTATCTCCTAAATCATTCCTAACTTTAGTAATCTAGATTTCCACACTAACCTATTATTATAGGATATTTTAGATTATAATTTTATATACTAGGTATACTACCTAGTCTCTTAGTTATTATTATAGCGTACCTAGGTGGTAGTATACTGCACGCCTATACCACCTAGGTATCTACTAGTACTAGTTCCTGCATAGTAACCCTACTAAATTATGCCTACTATATACCCTCTATCTATACTAAATTTTCTCCCTAGGTGCTATATATCTATCTAATACATAACCTATAATTAGGTATATTATATAATCTATGTTTAAATAGACGCTAAAGTTAATATATATAATACTAATAATATATAAACTAAAAAGTAGTTTACCTTTATAGAATATATAGTATAGTAAACCCTATTTAGGTTTACTTCTTGTACTTAAACTACTTTATAGTCTACTTTAGATAAATATGGCTACTATAAACTGGTTTTGTACCGTAGTGGCTGAAAATGGCCCTTTAACATCGCAGATATAATAGCAACAAAGTCATTTGGTGTAGGAAACAGACAATGGGACTACCTAACACTCTATCCGCAAGCGGAACCACCCTTCCACGCTGCATCATATGGGAATGATTTATAATATATCACATGACCGCTAAAGACCTATTATAACTTACATATGACTGCCTACCAATAAGCAATATATTAAAGGTTTAGTGCTGCGCAGACAAAATCACTCGCTAGCGCCACACCAGCCTTACGCCTCTTACGCTAGAGCTAGGCCGAACTAGATAGAGTACTATGCGAGTGAAGCTTAAAAGTGTACGTAGCACTACGGTACAAAACCAGTTTACAGTAGCTATATTTATCTAAAGTAGACTAAGAAGTAGCTTAGGTAGAAGAAGTAAACCTAAATAGGGTTTATTATACTATATATTCTACAAAAGTAAACTACTTTTATTTCTACTTCTATTAATCTACTAGTATTACGTAGTAATAACTAGTTTCCTACTAACTATTTAAGTATTTTACCCCTCCTTTCTTTAATCTTCTTTACTACCTCTACCACTACCTCTACCACCACCTCTATCACCACCTCTACCACCACCTCTATCACCACCTCTATTATCACCACCTCCTATTAGTAAAAATATCATGACTTATTATTATGTTATATGTGCGTATAGCGTGAAGCTAATCTTCTCTACCCCTTTTAATCTTAGTTAGGTATTATAACGTATAATAGAAATATAACTACTTTTTATACTTAATTTAAACCCCTACTATAAAAGTAAACTACTACTTTAATAAAAGTAAACTACCACTTTAAACCTATTTATAGGTATACACGAGGTTAGTTTACACCTATATAGTAAACCCCTAGCGTACTATTCTACAGTAAACAATTTTTTACCGTAGTGTAGTATTATCCAAATGTAATTTCAGATCTCTTCTTGCGCCAGGAGAGATCGCATAGTGTGGCTTTATGCATGTCCCACACAATATATTCAAAGCAGAGCGCCAATCGTCGAAGGACCGTAAATAGGCCTGCGTGTCACGCTCGATGCTAAAAGAGGTGCATGGAAGACAGAGATATAGGACTGGACATATTAAACAACATACTAAGCCCTATAATTGACTTGACTGGTAAATTTATGACTGGTGTGGCGTATACCTGTAGGGCCTCGACAAGTCTACATTTACGACTCGAATGCCGCGTCAATGAACATGGCGACGACCAACGTGGGAAGGGCAGAACTTATGTAATCATGGCGCCTCTAAAATCCACACTGCTCAAACACTTGAGAATCAGAGAGGGAAGCTGCAAAGGCTGCCAAGAATGTCGACAATACTCCTTAAACGGAAATTAGGTCATGTCATCCCAAAGATTGCCAAGGCCAAGGCAGACCTAGGGTAGAGACAAACATTGGGACTTCCATGCCGAGGATATACAGTATGTCAGGCTATAGATGTCCGAGGCGTACACGATGCTCAATATGGGGACTCGTTGCCGACGGTACATATTGGCCGCCATTAATTACTTGTACTATGGTACTATGCAAAAGTGCTCACCGTGGGTCTACTTGCAGGGGTAAAGTAGGGCCGTGCTCACGGAGATTAGAAACACTGTATTCTAATACTTTTTATGCAAATTTACAGTAATTTGTAAAGTAATTAATGCACCCCTGAGTTTCTCGATGTTTCTATCTCTTAGTCCTCAACCCCTATTACTACCCCTACCGCCACCTCTACCACCACCTCTACCACCACCTCTACCACCACCTCTATCACCACTATCTATCACCACTATCTATCACCACTATCTATCACCACTATCTATTACTACTATCTACTATGTCTTAAACACTAGTTACACTACTATCTACACTAACCTAAAAGCACCAAACCTAGCGATATCTTACCTAGGATAAGCGCCTTATTATTAGAGCACTTCAAGATTGAACGACTACAAGAGATTGTGCGCGCAGCCTGGGACTTAATCACACCGAATTAGCTCTAATTACTAGTAAATAGTATAAGGGCTCGCTGCTAGGCAGTAATTAAAGCCTAAGGTGGGCATACTAAGTATTAAGAAACTTCGAGAAATGAATATATTACTGTATCACCCTAATCTAGTATAGTTGGATACAGGGGTGGCTCAGGCGCCCCACAGGGGAGCACTTATGCCTGATATCATAGTATATCGTTATGGCATGTCGCCACACCCCAGAACAAGCCGGTCACAAAGCCATTCTTTTGAGACAAGGGAAAGATTCGGACCTGAGCGGAAAGCCCCTGTCTTACGGCAAATGATATTCGTCCGGGTCACAATAAGCTAAATGTCTGGGTGACAGGCCTGCTTAACCTATATCAGCGCTTGGCGTAATTTATACAACTTGGGTTAGAGTTAGTTAGAGTAAGGGTATACTAGTAGGTACGGTTAGGTTAGTTAGGGTTAGGGATAGGGTAAGGCTCCTATAGATATATTTAAAGAAAACTATATTCCCTAGTATAATATGTACTAAGTATACGCCAAGCGCTAATATAGGTTTAGCAGGCTTGGAACCCGGACGAATATCATTTGCCCTATCTTACCTCTCGACAAGGCAGACCGCTGATGATCGGACGCGTTCGATTTTCCAGACTGACATAAGCCCTAACCTTGATAGCTTGAACATCTAGTAACTCATGCCGCCGGGTAGTTTGAGTATCATGTGATTTGCCACTGCTACTTCCCGGCTATTTTGATGGCACAAGACAAGTAACGTGATCCTCAAACTAGCCGAGATAACAGTAAGCATGCAACAATCTTTTCCCTTTGAATCCACTTTTTATTTTAGGATGGCCGTAGATGACCCCGAACATAGTACTAGACGTCATCGACAAGAGTTACAGAATTTGCGTTGAACATTCTGACAGTGATTTCAATGTTATTGGGAAGTCTGAATAATATGCGTGATGTGCTTTGTGCCTGATAGAGTGCCTCAATGCCACACACGGTCAAGGCGTAGGTACTTTTTTGGATCAGTAGCTGGCTCAGAGAACAAAGCAACACCGAATAAGCAACAATGCGATCTTTCTCTCTGCCGCATGCTTGCAGCCGAGTTTGCCTCTTTCGACTGGAGCCCATGGGACGAGCATTGTGACCTCGGAGGATTGCCGTATTCCCAACAATACTTCGCCACTGGAACTCGTATCATAGCGATCGTGGTGAGCGAGGTTGGTCCTAATATACCGCTTTTTGCTGTCAGCGATCTCCTTTTTCCTGGTCACTCAGCCTCCTCGTACGTGCATTAGACTTTGTCTCTGGGAAGTCCGTTAGTATGGTACCAAGGTTATACCGAATGCGTACAACAACGCAGTTCACCTTCATTTTATGCAATCATCCTTCGATTCCATTGCCAGGTAATGTGAGCAATTCGAGCATGCATGTGAAGGCTTTTGCATTGCATGCTCGTGAGCTGGCCTTCCCGTCTCGCAGGCAAGGAAACAATTTGTACACTTTAATTCGACAGCTAGACACTAGGATATTATACGATGAATCAAGCACAGAACACTCTGCGACGGACACAGCTTAGCCAGGCCCGGACCGACATCAACTATAGTGTGCGGTAGAGTAAGCCAATTAAACTCACGAAGATCCTACCTGCAGTTACGAGACTTAGCGTCTGCGATGGCATGCGGGACGGCAAATAATACCGAGGCTGCGCGCGCTATAGCCGTGTTGAACCTATTGCCACCCGAACACCACAATAAATATTTTTACCAAGTCTACCACACGTAATAAATTACGTAATATTTATCTAATAGATATAGTAATTATATTTTTAAAATTATAGCTATTAGGAGGATAATTTAAATATACTTAAGTTACTATATAGTATAGTATTAACAAGTATACCCTTAGTTAAAGATATAATAAGAAATATACTAATATAACTACCTAGGATATGAACTAATAATTGCTTACTCTACTATAAGAAAATAAGACGTAGTACTTATAGGGTATATTAGATAACTTATAAAGGATAGCATACTATAAAGGTAACTTTGAAAAGTTCTTGCTAGCGTATTTGTTAGCGGTTAATCTATTAACCTAACTTTCTTAGCCTACACGCTTATTTTTAAAGCTATAGATAGTAGTAGTAATAGTTCTATATACTTTAAGTTTTAGTGTTTTTACTCTATTATAGCTTGTAATACTAATCCCTTTACCTATGCGCTTATTATAACTCTAAAGTTATCTTTTAGTAATAAATCTATGTAAAGGGCTTAGGCTTATGCCTAAGCCTAGGTCTAACACAAGATGGACCAAGTCTAACACCACTACTAAGCGAACACACTAGACACCTATAAAAAGGCGTAGAGGGCTTACCTCTCCTTTAAGATACTAAATACTATTATTAATACTTATTACATTCTCCCTTAAGGCTAGTCTATAATATTTTAGTATCTTCTTCTAAATATACTATAATAGTAATAAGAGATAGACGCGCTAGATATTTAGAATAACTAGGTGCAACCTAATATAGTAGAAAGGCTAATATAATAGGTCTATAGATTAATAGAATAATAGGCTTAAGACTCTGCTATAATAGCTATACTATATTAATAGAATAAGGAAATACGCAATTAGATTCTATCCTAACCCTCCTCTAAGCCCGCTAGGTTTAATAATATACTACCTCTGCCCCCTTCTACCTTATAATATAAACCCTTTCTAGTTAGCTTGCTATATAATAGCACTAAGGTAAACTTTTCCTCCTAGTAAATAACTATAGAATTTAAACTGCATACAGACAAGGTCTTTATTAGGGATAAGGAGGCAAGGTTTATATATATTTAGTCCTAGTTATTGCCTATAGTCTAGCGCGCTATAGCACTATACTTTAAGGATAGGGCACGCAAGCGTTAGGATATAAGCAGGTTTCTTAACTACCTAGCGTTCTATTATATTAACTATTACAGGCAGGAGCGCGCCTAAGTTATATTAGAACACTTATATTATAGCTAAAATTAGCCTTTTATAGAGTTCTTTATAAATTTTATATAGCTTTTTATATAGTTAGGAGGTTTATACTAGGATAATAAATAGAAGCTTTTATAACTTTAGTAATCTCTTAATAGTTATATACGCTTAGTTTCTCTTAATAGGGGAGTCTCTAGGACAAACTACAACGTAGCTATAGAGGAATATAAGATAATTATAGTAGATATTAAAATAGCCTCTCTAGAACTAGGCTTTCTTTAGGCTAGTAAGTCTAAGGAACCCTAGTAGAAGTCTAACTTAGATTAGGACGGCGATATAAATATAGTAGAAGTAGTAGCCTTATTAAGTGCACCTATTAAACTGCTAATATTATATCCTAACTAGATCCTATAGGACCTATTTAATATATAGAAGCTAGCAAGGGTCTACACCTAGTGTAGATAGGGCAGCTATTTTATACGTGCATGCCCTAATACCCTATTACTGTAACTAGTAGGTGTTAAGATAGTTGCAGTATTAGCAAGTGGCCCTAATTTAGGAAACTAGCTACCCCTAACTTTAGGCTAAGTTAGGGGTATAAGGAGGATACTATAATAGAGGAATTATTAATAGTAGAGGCTATTAAGTGTCCCCTAGATATTAAGGCTAGGTTAAATAATCCTCCTTTCTTTATTCCCCTCCTTCTAGGTAGAGTAGAGAACGTGTAAGTAATAGTTAATTTAGGGTGCTAGTATTTTAGTGCAGTTAAGGAAAAGTTAGCAAGATAGATTAGTAGGAACTTTATTAACATTCCCCTATAACCCTTATAATATACCTAGAGAATTGCTAAGGGTATAAGAATTTTATAGTTAGTAGTATTAGACTATAATTTAGATAGTTAGTAGTCTTAGCTTTTAGCTTATATAGTACCTAGTCTCTCCTATTAACTAATACTAGGCAGACTATAGCTATATAGAGAGGGCGTTATTATAGATATTCTATAAGGCGAATTAATAATTAGGAAGGTAGGAAATATAGTAGTATAAGAGAGCAGGAGACGCCTATATCCTACCTATATCTCTACTATCTTAGGTTTAGTTATAGTAGGGTTACTAAATTAAGGATCCTAATAGGAAGATATATAGGTATAAATTTTTGCAATAAATATACTAGATATATTATAAGTAATATACAACTTACGCCTAATAAAATATCTAGGAAGTGTTAATAAGGGAGGTCCTAATAATATACACACTATTTATATTGCTAGTAATATATTTCCCTATAAACCTAAGTATAAAACTAGAAAGATAAAGTTACTACTAGAACTATAAGAGTTTAAGGACCTGTTTAACAAAGAGTTAGCAAGTAGTTTGCTACCTTATTAAGGTAGTATAGATTACTATATTTAGTTAATAACTCTCCTAGATAGAACCTAGCCTAACCCCCTATAGGGTCCCCTGTACCCTATATTGCGTGACTAATTACTAGAACTAAGAATATAACTTACTAGATTAATAGATAAGGGCTAGATCTAAGCAAGCTCTTCTATAGCTAGAGCTCTAGTGTTACTAGTAAAGAAGCTATTAGGCAGTTAGCGCTTTTATATAGATTACTAGATGCTTAATAGTATAATAATATTAGACTAATACCTACTACTACTTATTAAGGAAACTTTGCGTACACTATCTAGCGTAAGTTAGTTTATAAAAGTAGATATTTGCGCCACCTTTTATAAAGTTAGAATAGTAGAAGGTTATAAGTCCTTAATAGCTTTCTGCACCTAGTTTAGGTTATATAAATAGTTAGTATATCTATTTAGTCTTAGTAGTGCGCTATCTACTTTCTAATAATATATTAATACTGCGCTTATAGAGTTACTTAGATTATATATAATAGCCTACCTTAATAATATCCTAATTTATTTAGGAGGAGACTAGTTTAACTATATAGAAAAAGTAAAGCGTGTACTTATGCTATTAAAAGAAGCAGGACTACACCTAGACTTAGAGAAATGTGCTTTTAGTGTTAAGGAGGTACGCTACCTAGGCTATATTATTAAGGCGGGTAAATTACTTAGACATAACCCTAAAAAGCTTAGGGTGTGACGACTTAGGTAGGTAGGGCATCCAAAAGGTATCCTATACGACTTAAAGGCATATAGGAGTGCGCGTCTGTATAGAAAAGGATGAGATTCCTACACCTATAGGTCTTGTACGAAAGGACAAGAAGAATATGCCTATCCTAACTATAGGCGAGCTGTTCTCTATATATATTAGTAAGTTAGGCCTTTATTAGGCCTAACTTAGCATAGAATAATAGGTAGGCAATTCTGCCTTATTGTTACACTACCCCCTCCTATAGAGAAAGGATAGTCCCTATCCTTAGGATTAGGTTTAGATCCCTTATTAAAGAAGAGCTTTTTGCAAAATAATTCCACCTTTACCTCTACCTTTACCTTTACTTCTTCTTCCTAGGGCACAGACCCCTATCCCTAGCCTGCATATAACTAGCCCTCTACCTACTAACTTTCTTATTCCTATATCCCTAATTTTTTAAATATTTAACCTAATCTATCTAAAATCTAGTAAGTATTTAATCTATATAATTAAATAGTTACTAATCTAAATTAGAACCTTTAGCTATACTAGTACTAGTACTACTAGGAGTTCTCCCTATTACTTATCGCGCTCTCTATATAAGGGCAGTTAGGGCTCTAGCTAGGGGCAGGTTTAATAATTTTAATTTTAAGTTAAAGAATTCTAAGAAGTGCTAGTACTGTATCTCCTAGAATAAGTATTATAATCTAGTAAGTATCTAAGTCTAATAGGGTTCCTTTACTAATTCTAGCAGATTCCTTCTTTTGTTAGCTAAGAGTACTCTACCCTTAGGGGTGCCCTAGAAGAGTACTATAGCCTAATAGGAAACCCTGCTAAAGGGGATAAGGATAAAGAGGCTGTGGTTGCTTATTAGAAGGATATTAAGCAGTTTAAGGCCACTATTTAAGAAACTACCTAAAACCTAGCTAAGTGCATTACTATTACTAATACTTAGACTAAGGGTATAGAAGCTACTAAAATCCTTATAGCTACCTATTATACTACTATATCTAATTTATATTAGCTTTAGAATAGTATCTATAAGATAGTCTTAGTAGTTAGGGGCTTAATAAGGGCTATTAATAAACTTAGGGAGGAATTAGCACTAAATTAGTGAGGCAACCTTCCTAGTATATGCTAAGATAAAGGCGTTCTACAAGAAGGAGTCTAAATTAGTCCTAGCTCCTGTCCCTACTCCTGCACCTGCTCCTAAGCCTGCTGCACTAGTTATCTAGAAGCTAGCCAAGAAAGATAGTCTAGGCGCTATCTTAGCTAATACAGAGTCTAAACTAGGTTCTAATAGAGAGATAGATATAGAATAAAGAGGTTTCCTAGGGGTAGTGTCCTAGGAACCTTAAAGGTTCTAGGTTAGTTCTAAATAGGATATAATAATAAATAGTAATAATAATAATAGTAATAGATAGTAGTTAATAGATAATACGTAGCTAAATAGGATGTGAATTAGTTCTAATATTAGGTATAATTATTATAAAGTAATATTAGATCCTCC